GCCCAGGCTGGTCTTGAACTCATAGCAATCCTCCTACCTCAGTCTCCCGAGTGCTGGGATTACAGGTGTGCGTCACCACGCCTGGCTAGAAATGGTCTTTTAAGGAAATAGTGACTAATTGATGGCATATATGTATATATGTGTGTGTCTACATACGTACATATGTGCATATGTCTATATATATTAATTAACTCCTTACATTATGCACATAAAATATATACCAGACTATGGAAGATTAAATGCTAAAGCTTCAAAGATGACTTAGAAAACAATCTTAATGACTTTGGCATAAGCTAGGATTTCCTGAACAGAACATGAAGAACCCAAACACAAAGATTAACTTTTCATTAAGACCCTCTACTGGAGAGAAAAAAAGGTGAGAAATCAATTGGACTATGATATTACAGTATACATATCCAACAAAGCACTTGTACTTAGACTTTTTTTAAATCCCTAAAAATGCATAAGGAAAAAAATCAGGCAACCTATGGTAAAAAGTGGTCAAAAGACTTGAACAAGCCTTTCCCAAAGAAGATATCCAGCTTGAAATCCCACTTCCTTGGAAGGCTGAGGCAGGAGGACTGTAAATTTGGGGCCATCTTGGACAATTTAGCAAGATCCTGTCTCAGAATAAAAATTAAAAAGGTCTGGGCAGGTAGCTCAGTAGTGGAGCACCACTGCATTCAATTTCCAGTACTGCAAAAACAAACAAACAAGCAAACCCAAATGGCTAACAAACATATGCTACCTCTAAAATCTCAAGTGAAAAAAATACAAAGAGAAACTGACAATGCCCAGTGTTGGTGAGAATTCAGAGCAACTGAGATCCTCATGTAGTGTCTGTACCTTGGCCATGCTCTCTGGGGCTTACTGTGCCCAACTTCCGGAAATTGGCCACTGCATCTTTCTATCCAGGGGCTTTGTCAAGCCACAAGAATAGCTCCACCTGGAAGAGCATCAGGCCAGAGGTGGCGATGACTAATTTCCTCCAGGAGCAGTTCGAATCGAAGATTGGCTGGAGTGACCTTTTCTGGCTCCCTTCCCTTCCTCTTTTCACTTCTTTCCAGTCTATAAAGATTTTTTTTTTGGCGGGGGGGGGCATCTCAAATAAACCACTTGCATTTAAATTCTTTAGGTTGCAACCTGGGAAAATGCAAACTAAGGCCTGAACTGTACTCTAATAAAAATGTTTGTTTAAAAGGAAAGAGGTAGGGAAATAGCTCTTAATTCGGTGAGGATAACAATAGTTAATAGTAATTAGGAGAGATTACTTTAGTGATGGACTATATCAGGTTATTCCTCACCACTATTTTCAATATGAAAAGTGTATTTTGTTACCACACTGAAAGAAATTTGATCATATGAGCAGAAACTCAGCTAGATGCTTTACATGGTCTATCTCACATATTATTCATGTTATTTTGATGCAGAAACTGAAAATAAAATACTTGAAATAACTTCTTCAAGATCCTGTTAAAATGTCATGATCAATTAGGGTGAGTTAACTTAACTCGAGGCCTGACCACTATACAACCAGATTGCCAGGGCCAGAACTGAAGGGTCGGGATGAGAATTGGGAATTGTATTAGTTACTTTTCTCTTGTTGCTGAGACAAAATACCTGACACCCAAAATTGGAGGGCAAGGGTTTTATTTGGTTTACAGTTTGCAGAGGTTTCAGTCCATAATCGGCTTACACCAAGACAGGAATGGAAATGGACATTGCAGAGGAGAAATGACACGGTGTGCACAAGGCAGCAAGGGCAACGAGAGGAGCAATGAACAGCTTTTTTTGCCCCTTTTATCTCATTCAGACTACAGAGATTAGGGTGCAGCCAAACTAATCACTCACATGTCATCACACGCCCTTAATCCCAGCATCACACATTCCAGATTCAACTACCTCTGGGAAGGAAAGTCTACCTCATCTGCAGGAGGCTTTGGTAGGACATCTAAACACAAACCATAGCAGGAAGTGAAAGCGTTTTAACTTCTAGTTAATGAGAAGCCAAATGAAGTTCAAAAGAAAAACAAACAAGCAAACAAAACAGAGGATGCAATTACCAGATGTTGATGATTTAAATGTTTTTATTGAGGTTGCTTTAACAATTCCTTTTTTTTTTTTTGAGACAGAGGTCCCCTTGTGATCAGAAAGAATGAGTACCTATTATTATAGGATATAGTAGTGTAATGGAACATAGGCACAATATCATGGAACAAGAATGCTCTTCTTTTGTGGTAGCAAAGAAACACATCTAAAACTATCTAAAAGCTGGTTGCTGCTATTAGATTAGAAATTGGGGCCTGAATACAACCTTTGCCCACTCAAATGAGGCAACTTCTGGTCACCTTATTTCTGCAAGAAATCTCCATGTAGCTGGAAGAAGCCTGGCTAGTATGAGTGGCCCTATATTCAACAAACATTGAGGGCTTCTAGGAATATTGATCTTATTTCTTAAGTGCATGGCAGAGGAAAGAGCAGAGACTGCAAAATCAGATTTACTTGAGTTTGAATGTTAACATTGCCACAAATCTTCTAGTATCAGTGTCTTCCCGTGTAAATTATACATAATAGTACCTTGGTTTATGAGGTTTGAGATGAAGTGTGTAAAGCACTAGGCCCAAACCTCCTCTTCCTTAACAGTTGGAGGTGATGCTGATCGTTAATTACTTTAGGAGCTTAGGAGATGGGCTAGTTTATGTAATTAGCATCTAAGTGATTGAGTTGATTCGTGGATATGCTAAGAAGCATTGCTCCAAAACAAATTCAAAAGACTGCTAAACTGGTGGAACCCCGGGGCCAAGAAGTATATCTAACTATATAGACAAGGCATTATTGCAGAGAGATTCTTTGTCTCCGTGTTTTCTCTCTTAGGTCTTGAGCATAACCCGTGGAATAAACAAGACAAATTTCTAAATGGCTTTGTTAAATAGGACTGAGCCATCCACTAAGATGAGGTATTTCAGAAACTTTCCATTTTATGTCTATTCCTTTTGGTGTATTCCTGGCCAAGTACAAATATGTTGCTTGCTAAATAACTATCATACAGAGTATAACCTTTCACTAAATAACACAAGGCCAACATGTCTGTAAAGATCTCAGAGGGGAGGCATGGCACAATTGCATCTGGTGATTTCTTTTCACAAATTCCTTTGGGTGCTGGAAAGTTTGAAGAGTTAAAGTTCAGAAGAGTCACCTCTTAGAAGCACAGCAGTCTGTTTTTGCTTCCCCAGGCTCCCTATGTGCACATGTATTAACTGTAGTTTTACCCATCTGTAAGCTTTTGTAAGCTTCCTAAGAAAAACAGCTATTTTCTTGGCTTAATTGCGCATTATTGAGTGGTCTGTCTCTCATGCTATAAATGTACAGTAATGAGAATTGTTCTGTTCATTAGCGAGCTCCAGCACACTAGGCAATGGCAAATCAGATATTTTATCGCTATGAACAGAAAGAAGCATTTAAAAGGTCACAAAAAATCATTTAAAAAAGCTTCCTTCACTACATATAAACTATATTTTATTAAATAGAAAAGAGTTTGACAAGATTAATCAATTATACATTTCATAGCAAAAGCAGTAAGGTTTTCCTACTGCAGTGATTTCTCTCCTTCATATCGTATCTGATACCATTGTCTTATTAGCCCTTTGGATTTTAAATTGCTTTATTTAGGATAGAACAATTGATGTTTTGTACTTTTTCTGGAGGTATCACCCAAACTGCCAGAGATTAGGGATGGGGATGATATGCAGAATAAACTATACAGAGTGTAGTACAGTTCTAGGTGCTCATCTTTTAGATGTGGAAAACAGAACTCTTCTCTCTCTCCCCTTTTTTCTCTCCCTTTGGGATTGAACCCTGGGCCTTGCATATACCAGTCAAGCACTCTGTACTGAACAACGCTCCCAATCCTTAGAACTCTTACCAAGTGGGGAAACACGTATCATAATCAGTACCTCTACCGTTTATTGCTCAAAGCTTCTCTTCAATTCTCCTGTCATTTCAGGGGATGTTGATCTGGGTTTAGCCGCAGGATAACCAAGCTCAAGATTAAATGGGTGGGCACGACTGTTACATTTTCCTGATAGCTTGAGGTAAGACGGGATTATGTCAGAGCATGAAAAGGCCAGAGAAAGGCCTCTTCTTCCTGTCTGGAAAGCCTCTGGCAGTTCTATAGGTCTGAGAGGGAGAATGTAGCCTTGGTACTTGGCAGCCAACTCTTGCCTCAAAAAGTGAAGAAGTTGAAAACAATATTGTATAGTGTTCTAAAAAGAAGTTGAAAACAACATTGTAGGGTATTCTAAAAAAGTTCTCCAAAGGAGGCTTAATTAAAATATTTTAAAGTAATTTATGTGCTCTCTATTCAATACAATGTGATTTTAATTTAAAATAATGTGATTTTTATATTTGTTTTTTAACTATTTTTATATCTAAAGTGTTCATTTCCTAATTCCTTAAATTCTTAAATTCTCAAGATATATTCACTTTAGATATACTTGGACAGGATTTGAGTTAAATTACAAAAGAGTCACTTTCTGTATGTGTTGTAACATTTCTATTTACATAGATATATCATATTTGTATTAATGTTATGGTCTTTATCCAACCAGCTACTAAACAAGAGCCTCAGATGTATAACAAATTAATAGATGTATTAATCTCTGTGTGTTATGAACTGGGGTTCTTAAAAATTATGCATGTGTATATTTGAGAGGTGCATGGTCCCTCATAATTTCTTTGAGATAAGCACACACCCATGTCTTATAGTGCTGCTGTTTGGACTCAAATTCATTTTTCAGTTCTAATAAGCAAAGCCCAAAACATGCCCTTCCTACCTTTCTACACACTGCATCTTTCCCTTTGCTGGTGGTCGCCAAATGCGTGAGCCAAATGCATGTACCTATGTCCAGATACCACCTCGGATCAAATCATCATGTTTTTAAGGGATTCAGGAAACCTGAAATCAGACAATTTGAGAATAAACACAGAGAGTAGACTTTTACCTTCCGGTACCCCCAGAGCTGGTTCCCCTTCATGCCGTGGCAATCATAGAGTGTAACAGGGCTGTTGTGTGATATCGCATCAAAGCAGAACTTTCGGGTATGCAGTGGCTCACCAGGTCGAATATCTTCTCTCCATCCAAAGGTAAAGAGCTAGCAAAGCAATGGCAGAAGAGAAGCATCAGTGATTGTAATTTGGAAAGAAGACTCCGAGCAGGGGGCAATATGGCTTCTAGGAAGGTAGAACGTCTTCTTTGTAATTTACAACAAAGAACGATGTCTTGGTGTAATAGAGGTGTTGGAAAAGTGCTGTATGAAGTGCTGTAGCAGCAACACCTTTGCACCTTTAGCCCAGGTTGCTAAAAATGCAAATAAAGAGGAGTTTTCACTTAGATATCAGGAAGGAAAAAAAACCAGGAGGCAGCATAGGAGAGTGACACACACACACACACACACACACACACACACACACACGATTAAAGGAGGATGAAACGTAGAAGGAAGAAGTATGAAAACAGAGTAGAACAGAGGAAGTCTTTAATGAAATCCTACATTTGTGAGATCTTGTCTCAAAAGAATGTCTAGGCTGTAGCTCAGTGTGAAGTCCCTAGGTTCAGTACCCTGCTCTGCAAGGAAAAAAAATATCCTGATGAGATGAATTCATTTTACAATGTAGTAAATTAACAAAACACACATCTGCAGGGGAAGGGCATTTTCTTTTTTTTGAGTATTTGAGCTAAACCACATTTGAGAGGTACAGTAGGAGGGAACTTTAATTAAGGGGGAAAATAGAATAGATGAATCCTATGATTTCTTCCAGTGCTAAAATTTCAGTAAGTTTCCATAGTTCTTAAAACAGGACTTAAGGCAGTCTGGCTGTGAGCTGCAAAACAAAGAGCAGTCAGGGAAACCCTGTTGATAGGGACAAGAGCGATGCTCAGTGGTATTTGAATAATGTACTTAGTATTGACCAAGTCCTCCATATACTCCATGTTTTGGGACCTACTCAGGAAAAAGCATATGAAGAATCTGGCACAATTTGGGGAAATGGAAGAAAAGTTGAATGAACTGGGTTAAGTGATCTGAAGAAAATAAGAAAGAAATGATCAAAAGCAAACTTATGAAAGGGGATTGTCTGAGGAATGGTGAACCACTGTATTCTGTTTCCCAGGAAGATAGGACAAAAAAGAATGTTTCAAATAGAAGGACAAGGATTTTCAGGTTAGTCATTTGAAAGATTCATGAAGAGGAATTGTGTGGCCCTTTTCCTAGGTTTTTTTTTTCTTCTTTTCATATAACTGTGGACTGAGACAGTTTTAGATTCATTTAAATTCTATGCAGGGGAATGGGCGCTCAAGGAAATATCTCTTTGGCTGTCTTTTGATCACTTTGGTCTCATCAGACCTACTACTGTCAAGGCTTTTGAAATACTGGGCTTCTCTGTTATCCTATATCTCTGTCTTGTCCATCCTCTTTGATCCATCTCTTCAGCATAGATATTACTTGGAGTTTTCTCTCTTCCCTGGTTGACATTACATACTCTCACGAATATGCTGGTAACTCAGTATCCATATCCTGTCCAGTTCTTATAGGATTTTTCAGCAACGTGTCTCAAGGACTTTTCAAATCCAACATGTTACCAACAGTTGTTTTTCTTTCCTTCCATCCTGTTTCTACTCTTTATTTTGCTTGTGTTAGCATTCAACTTATTAACCTGGGAATTCTTAACTCCTTTGTCTCCCCTTGCTTGCTTCATCTAATAAATTACCAAGTCTTGGCACTTTTGTATTTGAATGATTTCTGGAATTCTTTCCTTTCCTCTTTAACCTCCCAACCATTGCTCTTAATATCTTTTGTCTGGACTATGGTAACAATCTCCTAACTGGTTTCATTCCCATTTTCCTTTTTGTGGTTCTTACACATCTGTCTTTCTCAGCTTTCAGAGAAATCTGTTTGGAATGCCTGTTTGACTGGGTTCTCAAAGTGAAATCCCACATTTTCATATGACTCTTAGAGAATCAAGTTCAATGTCTTTAATGTCACTGGGAAGCTGGGTCCTGATGCAGTGAGAGCCAGTCCTTCAATTCTGTGGCCCTCTATTCTTTGTGTCCTTAATGAAATAGTTCAATCAAGACGCATAAGAGGCCATGCAGAATTATAGGTAGGATTTATTGTAAAGTAGATACAGAGAGAGTTACAACGCTAAGGGAGAAAGCAGGCAGGGTGTCATGAAGACATCTACATTGAGGGCCAATTTCGATACCAGACTGGTTAATGCTGATCAGGTCTTTCAGATTTGGCTCAGGTGTTCACTGATCCAAGAAGCCTTCCTCTTTAAATGACTTTCACCTTTTCATCCTTTCCCTCCTTTTGTAATAAGTGCCCACTCTGTTTCTGTATTTCTCCTTAGACAGTGAGATCTTTGGTGGCATGGAGTATAACTTTTTTGTTGTTGTTGGCTGTTTCCACACCCAGGACAATTTATAACACACAATAGATGCTCAATAAACCTTCCATTGAATAAATGAAACTTACGCTCATTGTCTTACCAGGAAACATGTGCAAAGAACTGTTGAGATAAACAGATTAATCTTTTCAGTTCATCCAGTGAATCTGTGTTGTTTGTGTCTACAGTATCAATGATTATCTATCTAATTGTCAACTATTCATTTATTTGTGGTACTGGGGATTTAAATCAGGGCCTTGTGCCCATGCGACATGTGTTTCACCACTGACCTATATCCCCAGTCTTTTTTATTTTTACATTTTGAGACAAGGTCTCACCAAGTTGCTCAGGCTGGCCTTGACTTCCCTTCCTCTTGCCTCAGCCTCCTGTGTGCTGGGATTATAGTTGCACACCTTCAGGCCTGGCTCGAATTTTTAGCTTTAATGATTCCACATGCAGTTCACTATCACTAAAATAGAAATTTCCTGACCTATAAATTGGCAATGGATTTTGATTAAATCTTTATTATATTTAGAGATCACATTTCCCTCATACTATGAACAGTCCAACCAATGCAGGAATAAGCAGTCTTGATGGATTTATCTATTTCCCTTTTGGTTTCTGTCTCTTTCTTTTTGGTTTTTATACACCCAGAAATCCAGAGATTGAAAAGGACTCTAATAACTACTTAGCACAGATTCTCTCTCATTCCACAGCTGGAGAAATTCAGGCCTGCAGAAATGGTTTTTCTCTGTCATACCTCAACCATCCAGGCTTCCTTTATGGAGGTCTATTCATTCATTTTATTAAAGAGTAGCTAAGTCTAAAAGAATACCTGTGTTACAACAAACAGGTAAATCTATCTCTCAGACAGACTTCTTCATCTATTGTCACAATTATATCTCAGGGCAGCATTAGATGACTTTTGTTTCTTGTTTCTGGATTTGGTATTATAATGTAATTTATCTTATCTTAATAGCAATGTCAAACAAATCAGGCACAGAGTCTTTCATTAGGCACACTTTCCTCATGTGACCTTGTAAAAGCAGAAGCAGGCAGACATTATAAAGCCATTTTTTGTGTGTGCTTTGGGTAATGTTACTGTGATGTTCATAGTTTGTCTCCTATCCTACAACTGTTCTTACTGATAAGAGTACCTGATTTCTTTTCAAATATTAGTTTTAAAGTAAATTGATGTTAATTTCTCCCTTTCCTTCTCTGGAGTGATACTCTTTTTTTTTTTTTTTTTTTTTTTTTGGTACCAGGGATCAAACTCCAGTCTTTGCACTTGCGAGGCAGATGGCTGAACCACTGAGCTAAATTCCTTGCTCTTGAGTGATATTCTGAATACAGATTCAGAATGACAACTCATTTTTTGGCTTTAATATTCACATGGTATGTGTAATGTTCACTAGGTCTCTATTGTATAATTAAACTCACTAGATTTGATACTGCAAATTTTCTTCTTTTAATCTGGTGACCTCACTTGAAATAATTGAATAATAATTTTTTTTTCTGTCTGTGGCCACTTATATTTGATTTTGTTGTGTAGTTTGCAGAAGCTGAGATATAGCATGTTCCTCCTGTAGTTGGTATCCCTCCATAGATTCTGTCTTGATAGTGGATCATTTTTTTTCCCAGAGGAAGGGAATTTGTCCTCTCCATGTGCTGCACGCCACGCACTGACTTGTCTGAATCTCTGTTTGCATATTTCCCTCCAGTCCTGGCAAGGGGTCATTTGCCTGCTTCCTCAGCAGGAAGAAAGCACTGCTGCAAAGCTTTTTCTCAGCAGGAGCTTTCCATCCGCTGCTGGGCCTGCTGAGGGAGAGCAGCCAGAGTAGGCCAAGGAAAGCACCTCCTCCCGGCCCCGGCCCCTGTTCCTCTCCCTCACACTCATATAGGAGTGGGGAGTCTCCTTGCCAGGCCTTACAGACTTATTTGGATCTATTTTTATTGTACTTTCTTGGTCCCTTAAGGAAGCCGAGAGCCAGCGCACAAAGTTATAGTGATATCACACAGCTAAATAGATCACCCTGGAAGAATGAATCATACATCGGCTTCCTTCGCAGAAGCCAGATTAGTCATGACTGGTGTTCTGCAACAAAAGGAATTTTCTTATAGAGGTGCTTCAATAGACTCTTTGTTTCCTATGCAGCAATTTTGTTTACTCAGCCTTGTTTTACTTTTGTCTATTTTTTGGAAAAAAGGATTATTTCAACTCTAAGCATCCCTTTTTATATGAATTTGCTTTTGAATTAAAATGAATACTCATAATAATTGTCCTGTCTTGCTACACTATTCGTCCAGAAATTTGAATCTAAATATAAATGAATTATATTTATGTCATTAATACATTGAGTAAAATATATAGCTAATTGTAAAATGAAGTAGCTTGTGAAATTTTAGTGCAGTCAGTATATGGTGATGTGTATTTCAAAATGAATTCATTTTTCATCTCCTGTCAACCTTTAATCTTCCAGTAGCTCCATGTTTAGAGTTTCTAGAGACTGGAAATCTTTTTAAAGAGCAGTATTACCTAGTGTTTTTGCTCTGCCTATGTAGTTTTCTGCTTGTCTAGTGCTGCTCTCTGGTGACCATTTCTTAAATTACATGCCATAGATTTTTGCGGTTTTCACCTGAGGGAACCCATAAATTTTAAAATGTAAGCAATACACTTGTTTTTGCTTATATTTACTTTTAGCTGTCAACTAGAACTTGTAATCTGGAGAAGATTTCATTCTAGGACGTTACTGGATAGAAATAATAGACCCGTTTCAGGCTCCCAGACATGCATCCTTCTTACCAAAGATAGGCTAGGTGGGCTCCTTGTTGGGCTGAATACAGGTGGTAGAGACAAATTTAGCCCAAGAGACAAAGAATTTCTTTACAACTTGCTCCTTTCTCTTTTAAAAATACCCCATTCTTTTCTAGATGCCATCCTTGAGCATTCTCTTTCTCTCAGGCTGAAGTCAGAATTGCCCGTTGCAGTTAACAGACAACACTGTTCCCCTGATCTCTGTGTGATGATAGAAAGAGCTAGGGAAAGGAGGAAGCAAGTCACTTTGCTTTGATATTTGATTCTTATCAGTAAATTCTGGAGTCACAGGGGCCATCTGGTAAGTGTCTATACCTTGCAGCATACACTGGAGTGAATGATGACTAGTATTTGGTGACTATGCTGGGAACAAAAATGGAGTCAAAGTCACAGCTGCCCTGGATTTGAGAGAGACTTCTTGTTCGGTGTTAGCATAAAGTCACTTCCTGGATGTGTGTGAGAAGGCAGAAGAAAAGTACAATGGCTGCATCTACTTCATGTGATGCTGTTACATCAGATATAATCTGTTCTCATAGAAGCCTGTTCATGTGGTTTACCGTCTTTATTTAGATAGAGTAACTACAGCCTAGAAAGAATGAATGATTTCACAAGGCCACAGGTGTAAAGCGGAATCGAGGATGGCCTGACTATGAGGCCCACAGTCCCTTCTGGAACACCACGAGGTTGTGGTACGAGACCACAAGGACCCGATGAGGAAGATGGTCAGAGAAGACACTGTTGATTGAATTAATTATGGACCATGTTGCAGGCTTGATCTGTTGTTTTTCCAGAATCACATTGCTATGATTCTAATACAGGGTGGAATGTGGGAAAGGAAAGGACAGTTGGGCAGGGAGAGGAGGGTGCCAATGCACTGATTCTCACTGTATTTGAACAATTCCTTAACCTCCTAGGCTGGGTATGGTAATCAGCCAACTGATAATTTTTGTCAAAGTCTTTTTGCCGGCAATGAGTACGTAAAACAGAGTCTCCACAATAGAAGAATGTACCAGCTGGGCTGTTGTTAGTCAAGTATGCAAGATTACACAGCTATAAGAGTGCCACAAGGCCTCCTGGAAACTGCTTGCTTACTCTTCTGGCTTTCATAAGACAGTCAGCATGGACAATTCTGGAAGCACTGGCAGGGCGTACAATGCTGACTTTAGAATATGTTCTTCTGCACAGGGAGAGAGGGGAATAGGATGGGGGAAGGGCTTCCACTCCATCTATAAATTCCTTTCCTTCTAAGTCTGGCCATATCTTTTGATCCTTGTGAAATCGGTGTGGTGAGTGTATAACTGTCCGCTATGGTATTTTCACAGTTTCTCACTGAAATATTTCATAACTCAAAACATTAAATGGGGCGCAGTATAACGACTGCTCCTTCACAGAAGTCAAGTGACACAGTGTAAGGAATGCCCTTTTCAAGGACTTTCAAGTTTCAAATAGGGTTAGAAATCACATCTCACTTAAACTGAGTAGCACTGAACATTTTTCAATCAAAAGCAGTATGCAGTCTTAAAGTATTCCGTGGGATCCAGCTTTCAGTGCTTTGCTATTTCATTTATTTTCCCGGCACAAGATTAAAAACTACTGCAAAACTAGTACTCAAATTATCAGTTGCAGTCCATGGAAAGTATTCGTTCTAATACACAGCCAGAAGGAAAACATAAGATTAGATGAAGTTCCAAATATAGTACAGCAATCTTTCATTGAAACCATAAAATTTTGTCAAGACTTTTCTAGCACTCTATGGGCTTTTTGTATTTTTAAAACTATGATTTTTGGGAAAGGCATTAAGATCAGAACTACAGTAAACAATTCTACCTTCCTTGATATAATTTAAAGCACATTCATATGCTTTATCGCAACTGAGCATAACAAATGCTTAGAGGGGAAACAGAAATAGAAGTCAAGTGATTCATTTCATTGCAGGGCTGGCTGGCACTAGAACTACGGCCTTTCTTTGGGTCCCATGTGCTCTCTAGAGACTCATTCCCAGTCTATCTGTCCACTCCAGCCCCTCTGGCCTCCACTACCATGACTTCACATGCCTGTTCATGAGACCACGTCCTTTCGGAACCATCCTTGACACAGATGTCTAGCCTCAGCTCTGTTCCTGTGGCTCCATGCTTGCTGTCTATGCAGAGATTTGCCGCCACGTTCCGAATCTGTAGAAAGAAGAAAGAACGTTGAGCACGGGAGCTATTTACACTTCCGTGTTGGTATCATCGGACAGTCTTGGCACACTTAGATAATAAACTATTATATTTTTTATTATATTGTTGCAGAATTCCAAGAGACAAGAGAGGCCAATCAGAAGGATTTATTTTAGGTTTTAGGTTCAATGGACTCCTGTCCGAAGGAAGAACGATGAACAGAGATCCGAGTTTATATACATTTGTTTAAAGCAGAATGGTGATGTAGCGAGTGAGTTTACTGGAACAGGACAAGAGCAGACAGGTTTGTAATTTAGGCTTGTAAGAAGACAGTGTCTTATGGATCACCTGGGAAGAGGGTGCACAAACTTTATTCACAGCATGTAGTTATCAATTTTATCTGTACCAGAACAAGGAGTTACTGCTTCAAGGGAAAGGGGGGTGACTGAGCGGATGGGATTGCCCAAAACTAAGAAGAATTTGTTTTTCTTTAAGTCCTGCTTCATTATAACTACAACAATGCCTGGAATTTATATGCAATATATGGAGAAAAAGCAGAAAGTTAAATAGAACGTAGTGTACATGTGAAAGATCATGAGATGGTCAAACACCAAAACTGCAATTGGTTGCAGCACATGCAACACAACGAGGGACACAGAGTTCATGACTTTTGTAAAATGGGAGATTTTTTCCTTTTTCAGGTGATGCTTAACTTGAGATTTATCATCCTGCTTCAAGTTCCTTCTACTGTTACCGTCCTAGTATAGAGCGATCCAATCAGAGACAAGGGTGACAGAGGTAAAGCGTGTAATGGAGGACAGTGAATCACTGGGCTGTGAAGGTCTTGGTCCACATTTGTTTCCATAGTTTAGCATTTTTCCTGGATGATAAACTCAGTGTTACTCTGCATGAGCATCCAACCTTTTAGCTTGTTTAGCGCACATTGAGTGAAGAGGAATTGTCTTGGGCTGTATATAAAATGTATAATACAGTTAATTAGCATAAGTAACAAAACATACTTTACATTTTTTCCCATTATAACAGGTGGGGCTTGGGTTGAGGTTTGGCCACACTCGCTAGAGGATTAGCAAAGTAAGAAAGACAATACTATTATTGAAATACTTACTGACTCCCTGCAGAAAGCCTGAACTTGAAAAAGTTGCAGAGTAAATGAAAAGGGCAATTCTTTCCCTTAGATTAGCACTGAAGAGTTACAGAAGGGAAAGGGGCGGACAGTGAAAAGTATCAAGGGCAGAAATAGCAACAGAAACAGAGTCTGAGCAGAGACAGGTCGTCATATTCTCCTGCCTGGAGATTTCACCATCGCCCCGTTCATGTCCCAGTCACACGGCACATAGCAGAGTCAGATATTGTTTAAAATCTATTACTAGGTGGATATACTGGATAAGTTCTGTCATCACAATCCTTTTCATGCTTTTATATGATCCTGCATTATAATAATCTGTTCAAGTACGTTTAAGGATAGAAACAATAATAAGGTGGACAGAACTGATAGTTTTCCTCAAGCTGCTTTGGCCTAGAATGAGTGGATAAGGCAGGGCGTCTCCTGACTACAGAAGAATACTTATTCCTATCGGACTGGGGCACCGAAGCAGAGAAGGTTGTGAAAGATGCTGGATATCAAGAAGGTGATAATTGATGCTGAATGGGGAGGGTGTGGGGGAGGCAGCTGTTTCATATTTCACTTATCCTTGGAGGAGAGGTTGGTGGAACGCATTTGAGGGTCAGTGTAGTGGGTACTAGTTTCATGGAATTTGGCAACGAGTTGGCTTCAGCTTTGTTATAGTTTGCATCTAGATGTCCCTTCAAAGCTTCCTGTGGTCATAGGCTTGATCTAGAGTGCGTGAAGCTGAAATTAATTCATACGAAACGCTAGGCTCAAGGGCACTCGGATGAAGGGTGTGAGTGCTGCGTGCCCTAAGCAGTCCGAATAAGATAAAAGGGGCAGGGAGACACGGTTAACTCCCCGTTACCTTTGCTGCCTCATGGGTACCACGTTGTTTCTGCTCTGCCAGGCCTGTTTGTCATCCCTGCCTTGGAGTCAGCTGATTATGGGCTGAAAGCTCTATGAACTGTAAGCCAAAAAAACCCTTCCCCTTTAACTTTGGGTGTCCAGTATTTTGTCTCAGCAGTGAGAGAAAAGTAACTAACACAAGCTTTGCCTACTGAACTTCGAGTTTCAAGATCTCTGTCTTTCCTGTCAGAGGAATATGAAATAATGCAGAATATAGGGCAACAATTGTTAACCTGGTCTGGCCTACAGACTTCTCCGAGGGCCTAAGGAAAGCAATGGACATTTTGGCAAATATAAGCAAACAAACAAAACTGTAGGTGGTTACATACAAGAACTTTTGTTTTCATTATTCTGGAAGTCATCAACTTCAGACTCGTATTCCAAGTTAGGGCACAATCTTATCTCTTACCCCTCATCACTGATTGCCTCTCAGTTCTTATTGTAATGGGCCATCACGAAAGATAGGGAATGAATTTAGGGGGACACTGAATTGCACCCTAATTCACCACTGACTTATTTTACCTTGTGTCCATCTTCCCTAGGGAAGGAATTTTCCTTCCTAGGGAGGAAATTTCCTTTAAGATTTTGGAAGAAAAACTAAATATCTTTTTGTGGGGCTGGGAACATAACTCACGGATAGAATGCCTGCTTATCATTTACAATGTCTTGGGCTCAATCCCCAGAACTGCCAAAACCAAGCAAACAACCTCTTGTGAAACCAATTTCTTAATGTGTGATGATGTTTCTCTAGTGAAATAGCAACAGTCAGGGTGTTAAGTTTGGATTTTGCCGTTGCTGCCTTCAGCCTGGCCAATTCTATAAAAATTCTGTTATTTCCTTATCTGAGTCCTGTGTGATAGTTTTCTGGAATTATTTGTGACCTTAAAACCACCTGACAGAACTCTGGGCAGTCCTTTCTTTTCATTCCTGTACCACTTACCTCACACGCCCACTCTTTTTAGAGAACCAGTTATTAATTTATATATCTAAGTCATTTTCAGGGCACTGTTATTCCCTCTCTTGAGTCTAGGAGCTCTGAACCATATGTGCAGGGCTTGGGTAGGGGGCAGCTGCTTGTAGGTTCGTGAATGCTCAGCTACAGTGGGAGAAGTTTGTCTTTGTACATGAGCTGGCATTTGAGCTTACCCGCCCGAGGCTCTTTACTCTTGGAAAAGAACAAGCACCAGCCACAGACAATGAGTTGCAAATCTGCCAAATGTGCCTGTGGATTTGCACCAAGCCAACTGGAGATCCTCATCTTGTTTTTAAATGTTCTGAGCTTGAAAGGCCTCTGGCAGGGATGGGGGATACCATTTTCTAAACTCTCGAATTTTCTAAATTCTCACTCAAATGACATCTGTGTAGACAATAAGATAAACTGCATTGGAAGCCAAATTTCAAGTTTCAAAGCCGTAATTGCCTACATCTGTGTAAATTCCAGTACAAAGTTGTGCCAGAGAGGAAGTGCTGAGAGTTCAGGACAGGATAAAGTGGGCAGCCGGGTATGAGATTAATATCTAGCCACTACCACTCTCTTCTCTCTCCCTTATCTTTCTGTCACCATCTCGCCTGCACACACTCATACTCCTGGTTTTCTCATAAGAGCCACTCCATCAAGAGAAACAGGTAAATAAAATTCCCGTAGAACCGATGTTATAAATTGTTCCCTCACTGAATCAAGTTTTTAAAAATTGTAGACAAGAATACTTACAAATTTATCTCGTACAACATGGGCTCATGACCCATGGCTGAAGGTAAAGAGTTCACACACCTACATAGGCCCCATAGCTAGGACACCGAGTGCTGAATACATCCAGGACAGAAAAGTCACTTTCAGCTCATCCCTTTGATGTCCAGCTTCAGGGCTTGACATCATTAAAACTGTAGCGGAATCCAGAGAAAGGCTGACTGGATTAGAAAGTGAGGTAGAGTTTGACCAGGGAAATGGGTGGGAGAAGAAGAAAATGAGGGAAAAGGGAATTATCATGAATTACAAGATTATAGGGATAAAATCCTTGTGGGCAAGGATTAGGGAGAGGTCTGGCAGGGAGCAAAGGCTTTCTTCAGGTATTCGGGAGGAGTCAGGCTCAGTTTTAACATTGCTTTATTCTCCCAGCACAGGAGGCTTTTATAAAAAAAGAATAAGAGAAAGGGAGTGTGAAGCAAAGTCACAGTGGCTAGTAGATGTGGCATAGGTCACTTAGTTGGCTTAAGTAAGCGATGCCCTTGGCTCAACAAGCGGAGGGCATGGTTGAGTAATTTCTTCTGATCGCCAGGGGTCTGTAAAGTGAAGTACTGGATTCATTACTCACACAAGAAATATTTATGAAGTCCCTGCTATGCCAAGGCCACATGCTAGATACTGGGTATAGGATGGGGAATTAGAAAGAATCAGGGTCCTCCTTTGTGCAGCTGGTGGTCTGGTCAGGACCTCAGCAAGATTGGAGATTTTCAATATTTCTGGCTGTGAGTTTTGAATGTGGCAAAATGAATCGCAATGTTCATCTTCATGGGATGTGGATGATCTTAGAAGGTAAATTTGTTCTGAGAGCTAAAAAACACTAATGCAGGGTTGAGAGAAAACTGCCGGGAGACCTGGCAGGTCTGGACTCTGCTCCCCAGGCGCAATGAGTTTCCCTGTAGCCTTAGCCCTATACCCACTTTCAAACCTCAGTTTGTGTGTTTATCAAAGTCCACATTCAAGAGTACTGCTGAAGAAAAGGAACACTGAGAAGGATGGGTGGAAGTTTAAAGACCAAGATCACAAGTTCAAACTCTACCTAGTAGCTTAGTGAGCCCTTGTCTCAAAATAAAGAAGGGCCGGGGTTGCAACTTAGTGTACAAAATCCCTAGGCTTAACCCCTGGTACCTCAAAGCAAAGCAAAGCAAAGCAAAATAAGGAAGGATGAGAGAAAGAAAGAAAGAAAAGAAAAATGAAAAGAAAAGCAGGAAGGAAGGAAGGAAGGGCTAAGTGGCC